TACATAATGACCTATGATTTAGTAAGATCAATATATTACTAAGATAGCTGTATAGTTTGATGAAAATCCTAGTTGATTTGAAAAAGTTATAAAAAAAATTAAAGTGTACTATCTGAATATAGTCGGAACTGCAAATTCAATCTTTTTTTACCTAGAAATTTGTAAGCAACACACCAAACTACATAATGACCTGTGATTCAGTAAGATCAATATATTACTAATATAGCTGCATAGTTTGATGAAAATCCAAGTTGATTTGAAAAAGTTATAAAAAAATTAAAGTGTACTATCTGAAATGCTGAATTTTGTTCAAAATTGCAAATCCTAGCTTTTTTGACCTAGATTAAATTTGACAGCAATACACCTAACTACATAAAGACCTATGATTTAGTAAGATCAATATATTACTAAGATAGCTGTATAGTTTGATGAAAATCCTAGTTGATTTGAAAAAGTTATAAAAAAATTAAAGTGTACTATCTGAATATAGTGCGAACTGCAAATTCAATCTTTTTTTAACTAGATCAAATCTATTCTTAAGTTTGACAGCAATACACCAAACTACATAATGACCTTTGATTCAGTAAGATCAATATGTTACCAAGATAGCTATATAGTTTGATGAAAATCCAAGTTAATTTGAAAAAGTTATAAAAAGATTTAAAGTGTACTATCTGAATATAGTCCGAACTGCAAATTTAAGCTTTTTGGACCTAGATTAATTTAATCCTTAAATTTGACAGCAATACACCAAACTACATAAAGACCTATGATTTAGTAAGATCAATACATTACTAAGATAGCTGTATAGTTTGATGAAAATCCTAGTTGATTTGAAAAAGTTATAAAAAGATTTAAAGTGTACTATCTGAGTATAGTCGGAACTGCAAATTCAAGCTTTTTGGACCTAGATTAATTTAATCCTTGAATTTGACAGCAATACACCAAACTACATAATGACCTATGATTTAGTAAGATCAATATATCACTAAGATAGCTGTATAGTTTGATGAAAATCCTAGTTGATTTGAAAAAGTTAAAAAAAAAAATTAAAGTGTACTATCTGAATATAGTCCGAACTGCAAATTCAATCTTTTTTTACCTAGAAATTTGTAAGCAACACACCAAACTACATTATGACCTGTGATTCGGTAAGATCAATATATTACTAATATAGCTGCATAGTTTGATGAAAATCCAAGTTGATTTGAAAAAGTTATAAAAAAATTAAAGTGTACTATCTGAAATGCTGAATTTTGTCCAAAATTGCAAATCCTAGCTTTTTTGACCTAGATTAAATTTGACAGCAATACACTAAACTACATAATGACCTTTGATTCAGTAAGATCAATATGTTACCAAGATAGCTGTATAGTTTGATGAAAATCAAAGTTGATTTGAAAAAGTTATAAAAAGATTTAAAGTGTACTATCTGGATATAGTCGGAACTGCAAATTCAAGCTTTTTGGACCTAGATTAATTTAATCCTTAAATTTGACAGCAATACACCAAACTATATAATGACCTATGATTTAGTAAGAATAATATATTACTAAGATAGCTGTATAGTTTGATGAAAATCCTAGTTGATTTGAAAAAGTTATAAAAAGATTTAAAGTGTACTATCTGAATATAGTCGGAACTGCAAATTCAAGCTTTTTGGACCTAGATTAATTTAATCCTTAAATTTGACAGCAATACACCAAACTACATAATGACGTATGATTTAGTAAGATCAATATATTACTAAGATAGCTGTATAGTTTGATGAAAATCCTAGTTGATTTGAAAAAGTTATAAAAAAAATTAAGGTTAGGTATCTGAATATAGTCCGAACTGCAAATTCAATCTTTTTTTACCTAGAAATTTGTAAGCAACACACCAAACTACATAATGACCTGTGATTGAGTAAGATCAATATATTACTAATATAGCTGCATAGTTTGATGAAAATCCAAGTTGATTTGAAAAAGTTATAATACCTGGTACAACATTATCATGTGCTCCACCTAGCTATGCAATGTACAATGGCAATGGATATTTTTAACCGACATTGACCACAGGAGAAAACCCAAGTATATGTTACAAACTTCACTGAAAATACCCAAGTATATGTCAAAAACCTTCTGTTAAAATTTCAACCCTTTTTTTTCTAAGAAGGGAGGCATGCTCACTGTATATGTCCTATTTTGTCTCCGGTTTTAATCTACAGTTGAATTGTTAGGACGAAAAAGCAACGACATTGCTTTAGAACCAGATTCAATGAAAAACAGTTGGTATACATCCTAAATAATGTCAATACTACATAACGAAGTACACCTTGGTACAACATTTTGGAGTGGTCCGTGTGTAAATAACAATCTCTGTTTAGGAATGAGGAAATCTATCTGTTGGCACTTGTGCAGGTTGTAAAAAGGGTCAATTTCCACCTAAATATACGTAACTGTATCGGCAGTTATTTGGTATAAAACGCCGTCACTGAATTCGGCGGCAGGAATTATGTGCTCCACTGAAATGTTTATGAAACGATAGGTATGCGAGTCTATTTACTGACATTTCCCACTTGTACAGGCTGTAAGAAGGGTAAATTTCCACCTAAATATAAGTTTAGCAACACTAATCAATCAATATTATTGAAGTAGTTCTTCAATGTATTATGGTGCTTAGCCTCATTGAAAGAATGATCCTACCGGTAGTCAGACATATCATGTTCACACCAGAAATTAATTTCAGCAGTGACAGACATAACGGAAAATAAAGCATACAAACAGGTCAGTCTTATCTTCAATACTGTTGTAACAACATAATTTGAAAGTATTCGTGTCTGTATAGGCTGTCAATATAGGCTGTCAATATATTTTTTCTGATATAATTTAGTCTGGAAAAAGATAATCGTTTAAAAATGTATTTATGTTCACATCAAAATTGCTTTCAGGAAAACCCAATTACTAAATGTAATGTTAAATATAAAATACATGACAACAAATTTCATGTTATCAGGGAATAGAAAATGCCGTTATATTTATCTATAACTGATACAATTAGTGACCATCCTTACAAAGATCTATACATTTTGTTACGGAAAAGAAGAACGTATCCTTTATATTTTATCACAATTCATGTTCATTGGCGTATACGCTAACTATGGGCTAGTAATTTGCTATAACAGATCAATATAACTTACCTTTTTACGAAGTTTATCCCCGATGTATTATCCGTACACAATAACACAATCCCTGAAATCAGTTTCTGGTGTGAACACGACCCTGAAAGCAGTTTCTGATGTGAACATGACGCTGAAATCATTTTCTGGTGTGAACATGATAACTGAAAGTTAATTTTGGTGTGAACAGAATCTTACAAGTTTATGACACAAGGTTTAGTCAAAGAACGTCTCGTCTTTGTTCTCATAAAGTTTACCGGAAGATACCAATACCTACTTAACAAATATTCCGTATCAATTTCACAAATTATAAATAGTTCTTCAGTTTATTATCGTGGCCCCCCGCATTGAAAGAAAGACCTTCCCGGTATATAACCTTTTCATATAGTTTTTTAATTTTAGCTGTAAATGTCTGCATTATGTCTTGAACTTTGCATGTGTGCTTTATCTTTTATTTTTGGTTAATTTTTACATGTGCTTACATTTTTACTTGTGCTTAAGTTTTACTTGTGCTTCAGTTTTAGTTATGTTTCAGTTTTGGCATGTTCACATGTGTACTTTATTAGTGCTTTGCATGTAATTCCAAATGATTTCAGATTTTGAAAAAAAAAAAATAGGGGAATGTCTTCGGACAAAGACTTGTGTCTCCTGCCGTTTTTTTTTACGGCCGTACAAAGACTTGCATTGCTATCGTTACATAAATATTTAAGTGGAGCACTTTGAATTGTTGTACCAGCAATTTCAGTCGCATAAGTCAGCGCCGGCGTCCCATACCAAATAACGGCTGCTTCAGTAAATATAAATAAGAAGATGTGGTATGGTTGCCAATGAGACAAGTCTCCGTCCAAGTCACAATGTATAATAATTTAACCATTATAGGTCAAAGTACGGCCTTAAACACGGAGCCTTTACTCACACAGAACAGCAATCTGTAAAGGGACCCAAAATCTTTAGGTACATATTGACCCTTTGTAACAGCCTGTACAAGTCCAAAGAAAAATATTTCCTCATTCCTTAATACAGATTGTTTTTTACAGATGGAGCCCTCGAACATGTTGTATCAAGGTGTAATTAGTTTTGCTATTTTGGTCGTAACAGTTCAACTGTTGATTACAGATTCATTCGAACATGTTGTACCAATGTGTAATTAGTTTTGCTATTTTGGTCCTAACAGTTCAACTGTTGATTACAGGTTGCGAAAAAAAAATACGTCATATTTCAATCTATATTTGAACGAGCAGTGTGTATGCCTTCCTCCGGAGAAAAAGGTGTGTGGGTGTGAGTTTCAAAATAGTTTTTTTGACCTAAACCTGGGTATTCTCATTGCTTTTTGACAGATACGTAAGTTTTCTCCTGTTGTTAATGTCGATAACAAATATACATTGCCATTGTATAACACAGTCAGGTGGAGCATATGTTAATGTTGTACCAGGAATTAGCATGTTATAATTAACTGTTGGCTTACTCCATACTGAATATATAGCTCCTAGTATATACATGGGTTAGGGTTAGGATATACCCGTTAGATATGAACCCTTCCAATCACAAAGCAGAAGACCGTGGAAGTAGCTTTTCCTATTTATAAAAGGAGACCATTGTTTAATGTAGGAGCACACGAAATTGTTGTACCAAGGTGTAGCTTTATACCTACCAATTATTTAGGAATGAAATGGATATCAATTTCCATAATGCGATTTTAAAATAAAGAATGCATATTTTTAGCGATTAAATACCGTTTCACCTAAATAAATAATAGTGGAGTGTCTTCAGACATTTATTTTTGTAAGCCTAATCCTAGCCTGAATATTCAATTTAACTATCCTTTTCTTTTCTTCAGAAGATGGAATCTTGGATGAAAGACAAATTTGACGAATTGGTAGGTATAGTTATATATTACTTGATCTGTTGATACTCTACTTATTTCATATACTTTCCTTTATTACTGAACTTACCATGTTATGACTTAAAGTGAGCATTATGTGGCTTTTCACGTCAATATAATATTTCAGTATAGGATTAATATTCCAATATGAATTGGTATTTTATTTGTAACCAATTCAATTTGATTTCATTCAGGGCGAAGATCTGAAGAGCGAAATAAGGGAGCAGCACATAGGTAGGATTGTTTGCATTATTATAACATATGGTTGTTATGGGGGATATTCCGGTTCATCTGGTCAAAACGATCTCAAATTTATTTCTATATGGACGATTTCGATGTTTCACTGACTAATACTTAGTGACTCCCTTCATAATATGAAAACTACATCACAGGAAAGGGGATTACGCAAACTGCCAAATAGTACCAGTGTCTGTCAACATTGCCATATTTATCCACTGAATATACAAGGTCCTTTTTATAACCAAAATATGTCAAAGGAAAAAATAAAGGCCGTACAACGAAGATAGTACCACTTACGTACTAAGTTCAGCCGGTAAAATTGAAAGTATGATAATTGAACCCAGTTTATAATCTTAATGTTACTATAACTTCATATTCGTACGGTCTGTATGACACTGCAAGAAGTTTTGACAACAAATCTGAATAAAGTTTTCAAAAGCAATGCTGAGCAAAATGATTTCTACGATCAGAAAGATTAAAAGTTATATTCTTTTCCAAATTATATTATATGTACCCAGCTGGATAAACAGATCATATCATAAATTGGGTTGTGTAAAATATTGAGTGTTGCATGGTCACGTATATAATTGTATTTTTGATTCATGCTGTAACCTGAAATGGGTTAGGAAAGCCTAAGAGTACTAAACAATTAATGCCTGCCACATTTCTTTCAGCAACTGTTAAAGACCTGAAAATGTTTGTTGAAAGTAAGTTAATGAGCACTTAATTATTCATGAACCAGATTAATATTTTGTGACCTTTGTGTGATATTTAAAAATTTTTTTCTTGCCTTTCATGCAAAACAACATAGATATTATGTATCTGCTAAGAGTTTGAAGAAGTAATGATAACAATATAAAGAGAAAAAAATGAGAAAGCTCAGAATACACTTTCAAGGTTATGTGTCTATGAATTGATCGACACTGAGCAGAATATTATGTTAAATGAGTGAAGTTAAAAGCCGAAAACCTGACTTAAAAATACGATTCGACAGTACTTCTGGAAACTGAAGTCAAACTATCTCATCTATATTAGTATTTGCAATGAGTTTAATATCATTATATTTCACACGAAACAAAAACAGCAAAATTCAGCTGATTAAATGATTTGTCAAATCATTACAAACCGATAATTAAAGTTTAAAAATACTAGTCTAGATGTAATGCATATTTTAACTGGCTTATTTCAGGGAAATTAAGGGTTACACAGACAGAAGCAAAAGACATAGGTAAGAACTGTTTTCAATAATCTTTGGACATATCTGTATTTTATTCACGACTTATATATGTTTTCTCAATTGCTACCTATTCTATGTCAATTAATGGTGGTTCAGAAAAGTAGTTTGAAATACTATAAGATCGATGTTACTGGAGAAATAATTCAACTCCTTTGGTATAGATGTATATATTTGTTATCCTACAGACATCTTGATTCATCTTTTGTATCAATGCATAAAGGCAAAGACGAAAGGGAATCTGTCAATAACTGTTAATAAATTGTTTCAAATACCAATTCATTAGCACCAGACGCCTTTGAGGTACAAGTTTATGATTTCTTTATACAAATTGCCCCAAGTTTTGGAACATAATTTTTATTATTTATACACTCCTTTTCTTCTTCAGAAAATGAAGATGAGGAGATTTCAGGTAAGACATTTAAAACAAAATGTGAGGTAGGTAATATATCTTCATTCATATAACAAGTAATTACATAGAGAAATAATACCTGCGACTAAAGAAGTATGTCCAATAACTGTTATTTTGGACTGAATTTAAAAAAAAAAAAAGTAAAGGCGAAATAATTGCCTTTGATGTATTCAGAAGTTTATTGGCATTATTCTCTACGTGCTGCAGTCTGTAACGTTATGAAAGTCTAAAAGTATTCAAACATGCTCATTTCATATCACCATTTGTTTTCCTCTTGTAGTTGATGTGTTTCCCTCTGTTTTAGTTGGTTACCCCGATCTGTGTTCTCTTATTGTAATCATGGCTATTGAACAGCGGTATTCTACTGTTGCATTCATTTTGTACAGTTTTAGAAAGTTTTTTCCTACATCAGAGTTACCCACATGTATGTTTATTCAACAGATTTTAAAATCTGACGTGACTAATAATAATTCACAAGATGTACAAAAATAAAGATTGAGATCTATGACGTCCGAATGACCTATATTAAAACTATAACTTCAAAATGTCCAATATGATTGAAAAAGTTTGACAATCCAAGTTTACTAAAATCTTAGAATTCGAACCTGCTGTGTAGTTCATACTCGTTGCCTGACCGTACCTCCTCCTTTCAGACAGAATCTTGCAAAATTTGCAAAATTGTACATTGCAAAAGACAACATTAAAATAGTGATCATGCGCAAAGAAACATTCATTTTCAAATGGCTGACATTCGAAGAGATTATCTTTTCTGGTACCTTCAAATGGCAAATGTCCATTTTTCATTCCGTCCTTTTGCCTTTCCTATCACTGCTGTAATTAGTTCTTTCGTATTGAACTGTAAAAGTTGTATGTGGAAAAAAAACAGTGTACTAAATGCAAAATTATTCATTGGTAGATGTAGAAGAGAAGACATCAAGCACTTCTGAAGGTAAGGACTCTTAATTGGTCAACAGTTCAAGTACTAAGTTATATTTCCATTTCATCATCAATGACATCAGTGATGTCTTGATTTTTTATTATAAAGTTTTATCAAGTGGAAAAGTATATAGAAAAGCACTCCCATGTGTAAAATAATTGTGAAATATTATGTAGGTATCATAGTTGTCCAATCATTTTAACACGGAGATCAATCATTGATGTTAAAAAAAAACAGTTTGAAATACTACAAGATATCAGAGAAATTCTTCAACTTCTTTGGTATAGATGTGTATATTTGTAATCCCTATCAGACATTTGATTCATCTTTTGCATCCATGTCTAAAGGCAATGAATAAATGAAATCTGTCGAAAACTGATACTACATTGTTTCAAGTACCCATTCATTTACATCATTTGCAAATGTACTAAGAGTTGTATGGTTTCTTTGCACAAATTGTCAGAAGTTTAGGAACGTACTTTTGATTATTTATACACTTATTTCTTACTTCAGATGATAAAGTGCTGCAGATTTCAGGTAAGAAATGTAAAAGAAAATGTTAAGAAGGCAGTGTATCTTCATTTATAATACAAGTAATTATATAAAGAAACAATACCTGCGACTGCCATGTGTTCATCCTCATACCTCAACTGGATAAGATATAAAGTCCGTGGATCTCAACGAAACCGGTTAATCTGGCTTAGGTAGCATCATCAATTATTTTGAGACATGGGTTCACCCTCATAACTTATCTGGGTAAGGTCTAAAGCCAGTGGACCTCAACGAAACCAGTTAATCTTGCTTAGGTAGTATTATCGATTAATTTGAGCCATGAGTTCACCCTCATACCTTATCTGGATACGGTCTAAATCTCTTATTCCGTACTTTTGGCTTCCTTATAACTACTGTTATTAATTCTGTCGTATTGAACTGTACCAGTTTCATGTCTAAAAAAATCATTGTACTAAATGCAAAATTATTCATTGGTAGATACAGAAGAGAAGAAAGAAGACGATAGGGAAGGTAAGGACTCTTAATTGGCCATAAGTTCAATTACCAAGTTATGTTTCTAATTTCATCATCCATGACATCGGTGATATTTTGATTATAAAGTTTTACCAAGTTGAAACGTCAAATGACAAGCACGCCCATGTGTAAAATAATTGCGAAGAAAAATAAAAGAAAACGAAGAACAGACAGATCATGGTTGGGCAATTTCTATTTCAGACATCAAAAAAACTTATCGATTAATACTTGTTACATGTCTGTTACCTTTATACTAAATTGCTTCTGTATTCATTGAAAATTGCAACAGTTTGTATGAGCCGTCTGAAAGGTTTTATCATGTTATTCTAAGCATTCCTTTACTTACTTGTAGAAAGTTATCCACCAAGTAAGTATTAGTTACTGCAATAAATACATCTATACTGACGACACCACTTCTTCGTGACAAATTTCAGAACCTTGAATAAAACTTTGTTTTATGTACTGCTTGAAAGATTAATATTATGTCTTTTTAAAAGCATCAGAATTGCAAGAAAACAAAGTGTAGTCCTCCGAAAATGAAGGTTATAAAAAAAATACCGAACACACATAGCCTTACCCAGTTAAGAAACACCAAAGTTAAATTGAAAGCGACTGACAACATCGTGAAAAAAAAACACCATAGCACCCACTTGGTGCAAGCCTTTCAAACGAAATGCAGGATTAACACTAATATTCAAGATACTTTATACACTATTTAAAACAAAAGTGCATTGAGGGTGTATGAATGCCATAAACATTTTTAATGTCCTTGCAGTCAACACTGATTCAAAACAATATCAAAATGATTAACCTTTTTTCGTACCTGTCTATGCATCACTGTATCATGATTTCTTGTTTGACAGTGACATTAGATGTTTATGGCGATTTTGATATCTTTGATAATTGCTTCATAGTTTTATTTGCAGGTTTCGTTTTTGGTAGAGGAAAAGGGAAGAGTAAGTAGTTATCTTTTCAATTTGATTTCATAGACATGTATAATACGTATAGCAATCAGTCAAAGAAAGCATTTCAGTCTTTCATTTCAATAGTTCTCACAGGTATTTCGCAGAAATTATAAAATCTTAATTTAGAACGATAGTTTCTATAAACATTGACACTTTTGAAAAATGCTTCTATGAATATTGTTTTATTTACATTTTTTATCGTTGCAGGACATTTACAGCTGCACCCTGATTGCAGTGGTATGTAGTAAGCTATGGTCTTCTTTTTATCACATAAAATAGTCAAGTAAGGTAGTAATTTCATCATGTACCAGGAGACTTTCGATAAGGTAGTGGATAAGCACAGCTATCTGCACATGGAATTAAACAGCAAATTTGTATAGGACAAGCAGGCCTATACCTATAGCAAAAATAGCAGCCAAAATATAATTGTTACATCAGTAGTCATTTCCGTGTGAGTTTTGTGTAAAAAAAAAATTATTATATATATATATGTTTCTTTCTTCACATCGTTCACCTAAACTGATACACTTACATTTTCCGGATTTTATATGTATAAAAGCACATTTTTCTTGTGTTCTGTACTTTTCAATTCTTTCGTTACATGTAACATCCAATTTTTGTATACATTTTAGAGCCAGCATCAACAGGAAGTTCCATGCCTGGTAAGTTTTATTCAGATTTGTCTTTAAATCCCATGCACTTTTCAAGTGCTTTTCCAATCTTTGACTTCAGAGTGTAAAAATTAGGCGAGCACATCATTTGAATTAAGTATAATGCCATATGGCATCTATTTGGTAACAACTTGACATAGTTTTGATTGCTACATATTTTTCTGCTTACCATTATAATTCTCATACTTTAGGGTTAGGGTTAGTTTAATGTTCTATGTTTCACGATATCTATATCCCATCGAAACTAACAAAAGTGGTCGTCACCGTTTTGATTTCATTTTACAACTTCACCAGCATACTCTGGGTACTTGATTCTTCATTATCCTGAGGGCTCATTGGTGGCTTTGGACTATTTTGTGCTTTTCGTCGTTGACACATTCCCCCGTTTCCATTCTTCATCTTATTTTATTAACTGAAATACTTTTACATGTTGCAGACCAAGAGAGTTGGCTGATACAATACATGCTGAGTAAGTAGACTATTATATGTAGAGAAATGCAAATTATTACTCTTCTATTTTGATCAGCAGACCGTGCTTAGGGTTTTAACTACATCAGTAAAAGTCGAACTAAAGCATTGGTAAAGGCATCTGGAAAACCATACCTACTGAAGCAAACATGCTATCAAAAGTCCAAAATAGTAGAAAAAAATCCACCTAATGAAACCTACCAATTATGAAAGAAAAACTTCTTTTTTATACACATCTAGATTATAAATGTTTCTCTTTCATTATATCCTTTACTTAAACTGTTACACTTGGACTTTCTTGATTTCATATGCATAAAAGTATACTTTTTTTGTGTCCTGCATTTTTGATTCATTCGTTAATTTTTATACATTTTAGGCCAATTTTCACCAGCAAGTTCTATTCCTGGTAAGTTTTAATCAAATTGTATTCACAGCTCATCCACTTTTCAATTGCTTTTTCAATCTATGAATTCGGAGTGCAAAAATGAGGCGACCACATTCTTTGAATAACATTTAATGCTGTCTGAAATGCAATATGCAATTTTAATATAAGCCACCTATAACATATGGTACCTCATTGTTAACAACTTTACATAGTTTTGAATACTACTGTTTCTCTGCTTAGGTTTCTAATTTTCTTATTTCAGGGATGGGGTCAGTTCCATCCGGCTCCGGACTACAGAAAAGAAAAAGTAGTAAGTTTATCCATATGTCTATATCAACAGATATGCAAATGCAGAGTGCAGACAATCTGTCGGTGGTATATATGAATGAATAGGGCAGTATTAAATTTGAATGTAAATTTGCATTGTTAGGGTTCTGACATTAAAAATAAGACTTATGGGAAAATATTTAACAGTTATACGCGTGTAACTAAATGAATGAAAAGGTATTTCTTGTTTTTGAAGTACAGAATACATTAACTGATACACATATACTTTCAGGATGTAATATGTATACGTGTATATAATTTCCTTGTGTTCGGAATTCTTCGTTTCATCCATTATATCTGACATCCAAGTTCTTGTATATTTCAGGCCAAGGTGAAATGCAGCCATCTGGTAAGTTTCTTTTTCCTTCAGATTGTAATAAATTGTCAAAGTAAGATATGATTTTAAGAAAATTGCAAACCTCGACAGAAGTATTATATCAAAATAATTTACAAAGATGTATATAAACATTAGAAGATAATTTTAATGATGTATGCCTTCTCTCTGACTTCTATTTAGACGAACGTAACGTCTGCCTGTAACAACCACTTGAATCTGGAAAAGATTCATGCCCTAACCTTGTGATTGACTGCAAACACATTGTAAAAAGTGTATGGCATATGAAAACAACGATGAACTGATGCCTCTCCGTATGCACTTTTCAAGTGCTTTCTAATTCTTTCGCTTCAGTCTAAAAATGAGGCGAAGACATTATTTGAATAACATTTAATGATGTCTTAAACACAATATGCAATATCAATGTGAGACACCTCTAACATATTGTATGTATTTGGTAACAACTTTACACAATTGTGATTGCTACTTTCTCTCTGCTTATCATTCCAATTTTCATTTTTTATGGTTAGGGTTAGTACCTTCCTGCTCCAAGCTACCGAAAAGAAAACGTAGTAAGTTTATCCATAGGAAGTTATAAACACATATGCAAATACACAGTGCAGAATATTTGTAGGTGGTATATGTGAATGAATACGGCAGTATTGAATTTGAATGTGAATTGGCATTAATGTGTGGTAACGGTAATATTACAATTTATGACAGAATATTAAACAGTCATACGCTTATTCCCAAAATACTGAAACAGTAAGGGCCCTTGAATGCATAGACTATGTAAACTGATACACATATACTTTCGGGGATGTCATGTGTATAAATCTATATAATTTCCTTGGGTTCTGAAATCTTCGTTAAACCATTATATCTGATATCACAATTCTTGTATATTTTAGGGAAAGTTGAATTACAACCATCTAATAATTTAATCCATATTTCATTAAGGTCAGAAAATTAATGACTTATTTTTGAAAAGTAGCAAACATCGACAGTACTATTCTATCAAAATCATGTGTAATGATGTGCATAACCATCAAACGATCAATTTAAGTTTAATACTGAATATTGATTTGAATGTAATTTGACATTGTCATGTGGTAACAGTAAAAATAAGATCTACAGCAGAATATTCATCAGTAATACGCGTGTAAGCAAAATACTGAAGCAGTATAACTTTCTTCATGTAGAGGCCTTTAAACACATAAACTTTCGGGATTTAATATGTATAAATGCAATTATTTTCCTTGTGTTTTGAATTTTTCGCTTCATCCATTATATCTCACATGAAAGTTCTTGTATATTTTAGGCGAAGATGAACAACAGCCAACTGGTAAGTTTGGTCATATTGTATCAACAGCTCAAATGAAAGTGTCATTTAAAGACAGCAGCAAACATCGGCAGTACTATTCTATCAAACTCATTTGTATCGATGTATATACACATCAGAAGATCATTTTAATATAAATATGCAAATATTGATTTTTAATGTCACTTGACTTGTTGTGTGCTTACAGTAAAAATAAGACTTATGGGAGAATATCCAACAGTCATAAGCGTTTTACCAAAATACTGAAAAAGTAAGGTATTCGTTCAATGTAGAGACAATATAAACTGATACACATATACTTTCGGTATATAATTTGTGTAAATGGTTATAATTGGCTTGTGTTCGGAATTTTCCGTTTCATCCATTATATCTGACATCCAAATTCTTGTCTATTTTAGGCCTACTTAAAGTACAGCCATCTGGTAAGTTCTTCCTTGATTGTATTACAAGGTGAAATTAAAGTGTAATTTTAAAAAAAAATAGCAAACATCGACAGTACTATTCCATCCAAATCATTTGTAATGATGTATATAAATATGAAACGATCAATTTAAGTTTTATATGGAATATTGATTTTTAATGTATTTTCTCATTGTGGTGTGCTAACAGTAGAAATAAGATTTGTAGGAGAAAATTCTGACAGTTATACGCTTGATACTTATTTACTGAAAAAGTTTCCTTGTGTGCGGGTTTCTTCGTTTTATCCATTACGTCTGAACTTCGCAGTCTTGTATATTTCAGATCAAGTTGAACAACAGCCATCTGGTAAGGTCTTTGTCAGCTTGTGTTCAAAGCTCAAATTAAAGTTAGGTGTTAATTAAATAGCAAACATCGACAGATCTATTCTATCCCAATCCAAAAATCTTTTGTAAAGATGTATTTCAAGATAAGAAGATAATTTTAATGAATTTTACCTTTTCCCTGACTTCTAGTCATACCCACTGAAGGTTTGCCTGCAAATCATTTTTCCTTACATAACATTTATGCCCATACCTTATGATTGATTGCAAACAGAGTGCATAATGGCACATGAATACAACGATGAACCGATGCCTGTACGAGTGCGTTTTACAAGTGTTTTGTAATTCTTTGACTTCAGAATGTAAAAATGAGGCGAACACATTGTTTTAAAAACATTTAATGCTGTCTTAAATACAACATGCAATTTACATATCAGCTATTTATAACATATTGTATCTAAATGGTTACATTTTTACATAGCTTTGATTGCTACTTCTTCTCTGACATAACATTCTAATTTTCTTATATTATAGTGTCAGATGTTGCAACTGCAGCCTCCACAGTACTAAAAAGAAAAAGTAGTAAGTGTTATCCATATGTCGTTATCATCACATATACAACTGCAAAGTACAGATATTCCCCGGCTAGGGTAAATGTTCATGAATATGGCAGTAATGAATGTGAATGCCAATCTGCATTGCTGTTTGCTAACAGTAAAATTAAGATTTATGGGAGAATATATAGTGATATGGGTGTTACTAAATTACTGAACATGTACAGACTACGTTAACTGATACACATATACTTCCGGGATGTACTATGTATCAATACATATAATTTCCTTGTGTTCTGAATCTTTCGTTTCATCCTTTATATCTGACATGCAAATTATTGTATATTTTAGGCGAAGGTGAACAAACGCCATCGGGTGAGTTTCTTTTTTTTTTTCGATTGTCTTAAAAGCTGAAATGAAATTGTGATTCTAAAGAAATAGCAAACATCGCCACTACTACTGTATCAGAATCATTTGTAATGAGGTATAATAACATCAGACGATCAATTTAAGTTTACTATAGAATACTGATCTCAAATGACATTTGTCATTGTTGTGTGCTTACTTGAAAAATAAGATTTATTGGAGAATAGCCATCAGTTATACGCGTACGCGTGTTACCAAAATACTGAAAACGTATGACTTTCCTAATGATGATACTACGTAAACTGATACACATAAACTTCCGGGATATAATATGTACCAATGTACATATTTTTCTGGTGATGTTATTTGTCATTTCTTCTCTTATATGTGACACCTAAATCATACTTTTTCCATAATGTACTATACCTGAAGATGTCTCGAAGTATTCGTATTGATGTTATCTATTAAACCCCTTCTAATGAAGTGTGTAACTTAAATGAATTACAACATGGTTGTACTTTTACGGGCTGATATTTCTTACAGTAGTAATGGGGTTCCAAATTAACTGGATACGATTTTTCCATACTCTGCAAGAATCAGGTTGTAAGATTTTGAATGTTTTGTTTTTACAGCATCAGCTCTTGCAAAAAGTAAAGGTAAGGACTTTAAATCAATTAGGGTTAGGGTTAGGGTTAGGGTTAGGGTTAGGGTTAGGGTTAGGGTTAGGGTTAGGGTTAGGGTTAGGGTTAGGGTTAGGTTAGGGTTAGGGTTAGGGTTAGGGTTAGGGTTAGGGTTAGGGTTAGGGTTTAGGGTTAGGGTTAGGGTTAGGGTTAGGGTTAGGGTTAGGGTTAGGGTTAGGGTAGTGGACTTTGGCGAGGGTTAGTGAGGTGACCTTTTTTACTTCTGCGCATGTCTGACCTTTTTTGTGACTGCGCATGCGTGAGAAATTTCCAAAAATATTTCTAAGTACAGAGTATGAAAAGTGCCTTTGACTTCAATCTTCAAACAGGTGTAGAATGGATTTGAATAGAGATATTTTCTTAAAGTTAACTGTTCCGAAAAGTTGAAAAGGCGATCTAGAGCATGAAAACTTATTGGTATCAATGAAGTGTACGGCTGCACTTTCCGACCTCACTGAAGAAACGTTTGTGTGAGAGTGAAGCCTAATCCCGACATTAACCCCAACTCCGAAACTACAAAAGATAAAGACTTGCGGTTTTCATCATAGGCTTAATTCTCGCAAAGTACTGCCCCTAACGGGGTCGATTTATTAATTTCAAGCCAATCGAAGCATAGGATCATGTTGAGACTTTGAAAAGATCGACTTTGAAAAGTACCAAAAACCACAACCTGACCCCCCACCCCTCCAAAACTGTGATTTTTGAGAAGTTCGTGAAAAAACTTAATACGAAAATCTAATCGGTTAACCCCCTAGACTTACCCGTTCCAAGATAAAGTAAGGCCTTCAAAACAACGATTTTAACACATTTGGGGTTTTGGTTTGGGTTAGTGTTTGGGTTAGGGTTAGGGTCAGGGTTAGGGTTAGGGTCAGGGTTAGTGTTAGGGTAAGGGTCAGGGTAGTGGACTTGAAGGATGGTAGTGGACTTTGGCGAGGGTTAGTGAGGTGACCTTTTTTACTTCTGCGCATGTCTGACCTTTTTTGTGACTGCGCATGCGTGAGAAATTTCCAAAAATATTTCTAAGTACAGAGTATGAAAAGTGCCTTTGACTTCAATCTTCAAATAGGTGTAGAATGGATTTGAATAGAGATATTTTCTTAAAGTTAACTGTTCCGAAAAGATGAAAAGGCGATCTAGAGCATGAAAACTTATTGGTATCAATGAAGTGTACGGCCGCACTTTCCGACCTCACTGAAGAAACGTTTGTGTGAGAGTGAAGCCTAATCCCGACATTAACCCCAACTCCGAAACTACAAAAGATAAAGACTTGCGGTTTTCATCATAGGCTTAATTCTCGCAAAGTACTGCCCCTAACGGGGTCGATTTATTAATTTCAAGCCAATCGAAGCATAGGATCATGTTGAGACTTTGAAAAGATCGACTTTGAAAAGTACCAAAAACCACAACCTGACCCCCCACCCCTCCAAAACTGTGATTTTTGAGAAGTTCGTGAAAAAACTTAATACGAAAATCTAATCGGTTAACCCCCTAGACTTACCCGTTCCAAGATAAAGTAAGGCCTTCAAAACAACGATTTTAACACATTTGGGGTTTTGGTTTGGGTTAGTGTTTGGGTTAGGGTTAGGGTCAGGGTTTGGGTCAGGGTTAGGGTCAGGGTTAGGGTCAGGGTTTGGGTCAGGGTTTGGGTTTGGGTTAGGGTCAGGGTTTGGGTTAGGGTCAGGGTTAGGGTTAGGGTCAGGGTTAGTGTTAGGGTAAGGGTCAGGGTAGTGGACTTGAAGGATGGTAGTGGACTTTGGCGAGGGTTAGTGAGGTGACCTTTTTTACTTCTGCGCATGTCTGACCTTTTTTGTGACTGCGCATGCGTGAGAAATTTCCAAAAATATTTCTAAGTACAGAGTATGAAAAGTGCCTTTGACTTCAATCTTCAAATAGGTGTAGAATGGATTTGAATAGAGATATTTTCTTAAAGTTAACTGTTCCGAAAAGATGAAAAGGCGATCTAGAGCATGAAAACTTATTGGTATCAATGAAGTGTACGGCCGCACTTTCCGACCTCACTGAAGAAACGTTTGTGTGAGAGTGAAGCCTAATCCCGACATTAACCCCAACTCCGAAACTACAAAAGATAAAGACTTGCGGTTTTCATCATAGGCTTAATTCTCGCAAAGTACTGCCCCTAACGGGGTCGATTTATTAATTTCAAGCCAATCGAAGCATAGGATCATGTTGAGACTTTGAAAAGATCGACTTTGAAAAGTACCAAAAACCACAACCTGACCCCCCACCCCTCCAAAACTGTGATTTTTGAGAAGTTCGTGAAAAAACTTAATACGAAAATCTAATCGGTTAACCCCCTAGACTTACCCGTTCCAAGATAAAGTAAGGCCTTCAAAACAACGATTTTAACACATTTGGGGTTTTGGTTTGGGTTAGTGTTTGGGTTAGGGTTAGGGTCAGGGTTTGGGTCAGGGTTAGGGTCAGGGTTAGGGTCAGGGTTTGGGTCAGGGTTTGGGTT